AAAGTTGAAGGTGGTGCATCGAAAAAAAAAAATACTCAGCAGGCAGAGGTAGTGATTATTCCTAGTAGGTATCATTCTTTGGATGAAAATAAAGCGTTTCTATCATGTTTGATCGCGGCAGTCTCGTGCAGAGTCTCAGAAATGAATTTTAAAGTTGAGGGTGGTGCATCGAAAAAAAAAATACTCAGCAGGCAGAGGTAGTGATTATTCCTGGTAGGTATCATTCTTTGGATGAAAATAAAGCGTTTCTATCATGTTTGATCGCGGCAGTCTCGTGCAGAGCCTCAGAAATGAATTTTAAAGTTGAGGGTGGTGCATCGAAAAAAAAATACTCAGCAGGCAGAGGTAGTAATTATTCCTGGTAGGTATCATTCTTTGGATGAAAATGAAGCGTTTCTATCATGTTTGATCGCGGCAGTCTCGTGCAGAGCCTCAGAAATGAATTTTAGAGTTGAGGGTGGTGCATCGAAAAACAAATACTCAGCAGGCAGAGGTAGTGATTATTCCTGGTAGGTATCATTCTTTGGATGAAAATGAAGCCTTCGTATCATGTTTGATCGCGGCAGTCTCGTGCAGAGCCTCAGAAATGAATTTTAAAGTTGAAGGTGGTGCATCGAAAAAAAAAATACTCAGCAGGCAGAGGTAGTGATTATTCCTGGTAGGTATCATTCTTTGGATGAAAATAAAGCGTTTCTATCATGTTTGATCGCGGCAGTCTCGTGCAGAGCCTCAGAAATGAATTTTAAAGTTGAGGGTGGTGCATCGAAAAAAAAAATACTCAGCAGGCAGAGATAGTAATTATTCCTGGTAGGTATCATTCTTTGGATGAAAATGAAGCGTTTCTATCATGTTTGATCGCGGCAGTCTCGTGCAGAGCCTCAGAAATGAATTTTAAAGTTGAAGGTGGTGCATCGAAAAAAAAAATACTCAGCAGGCAGAGGTAGTAATTATTCCTGGTAGGTATCATTTTTTGGATGGAAATAAAGCCTTTGTATCATGTTTGATCGCGGCAGTCTCGTGCAGAGTCTCAGAAATGAATTTTAAAGTTGAGGGTGGTGCATCGAAAAAAAAAATACTCAGCAGGCAGAGGTAGTGATTATTCCTAGTAGGTATCATTCTTTGGATGAAAATAAAGCGTTTCTATCATGTTTGATCGCGGCAGTCTCGTGCAGAGTCTCAGAAATGAATTTTAAAGTTGAGGGTGGTGCATCGAAAAAAAAATACTCAGCAGGCAGAGGTAGTGATTATTCCTGGTAGGTATCATTCTTTGGATGAAAATAAAGCGTTTCTATCATGTTTGATCGCGGCAGTCTCGTGCAGAGTCTCAGAAATGAATTTTAATGTTGAGGGTGGTGCATCGAAAAAAAAATACTCAGCAGGCAGAGGTAGTAATTATTCCTGGTAGGTATCATTTTTTGGATGGAAATAAAGCCTTTGTATCATGTTTGATCGCGGCAGTCTCGTGCAGAGTCTCAGAAATGAATTTTAAAGTTGAGGGTGGTGCATCGAAAAAAAAAATACTCAGCAGGCAGAGGTAGTGATTATTCCTAGTAGGTATCATTCTTTGGATGAAAATAAAGCGTTTCTATCATGTTTGATCGCGGCAGTCTCGTGCAGAGCCTCAGAAATGAATTTTAAAGTTGAAGGTGGTGCATCGAAAAAAAAAAATACTCAGCAGGCAGAGGTAGTAATTATTCCTGGTAGGTATCATTCTTTGGATGGAAATAAAGCCTTTGTATCATGTTTGATCGCGGCAGTCTCGTGCAGAGTCTCAGAAATGAATTTTAAAGTTGAGGGTGGTGCATCGAAAAAAAAAAATACTCAGCAGGCAGAGGTAGTGATTATTCCTAGTAGGTATCATTCTTTGGATGAAAATAAAGCGTTTCTATCATGTTTGATCGCGGCAGTCTCGTGCAGAGTCTCAGAAATGAATTTTAAAGTTGAGGGTGGTGCATCGAAAAAAAAATACTCAGCAGGCAGAGGTAGTGATTATTCCTGGTAGGTATCATTCTTTGGATGAAAATAAAGCGTTTCCATCATGTTTGATCGCGGCAGTCTCGTGCAGAGCCTCAGAAATGAATTTTAAAGTTGAAGGTGGTGCATCGAAAAAAAAAATACTCAGCAGGCAGAGGTAGTAATTATTCCTGGTAGATATCATTCTTTGGATGGAAATAAAGCCTTTGTATCATGTTTGATCGCGGCAGTCTCGTGCAGAGTCTCAGAAATGAATTTTAAAGTTGAGGGTGGTGCATCGAAAAAAAAAATACTCAGCAGGCAGAGGTAGTGATTATTCCTGGTAGGTATCATTCTTTGGATGAAAATAAAGCGTTTTTATCATGTTCGATCGCGGCAGTCTCGTGCAGAGTCTCAGAAATGAATTTTAAAGTTGAGGGTGGTGCATCGAAAAAAAAATACTCAGCAGGCAGAGGTAGTAATTATTCCTGGTAGGTATCATTCTTTGGATGAAAATAAAGCGTTTCTATTATGTTTGATCGCGGCAGTCCTGTGCAGAGCCTCAGAAATGAATTTTAAAGTTGAGCGTGCTGCATCGAAAAAAAATACTCAGCAGGCAGAGGTATATATAGTGATTATTCCTGGTAGAAATCATATCCTCTAGAAGGAATTAATGCGTTTTCATCATGTTTGATAGCGGCAGTCCTAGGGCCAATGAGCCCTCTAAGAATATATATATTATTTTTCTTAATTAATAATGCGTTGTGTTACACCATCACATACAAAAGTATACTTTTGTCAAGGAGAAAATATTGAGTAAATACTAGGTGTTCATATACCTATGTTTATTCCACAATAACTGTAATAATTGTTATGTGAATAGGAATCATAATATCTTATTGCAATAATTTTACAGACAGAAAAATATTTTCGAGGTCAGCCACTGTTCATTCGAGATCTTTGGAAATTCAGCTGCCAATGGTCTGCCAAGTTCACACCTTGAAAAAAATTTCTGGTGCGCCACTGGTCCTTCGGTTAACTTCGGAAATTTTGGCCGCTGGCCTGGTCTGCCAGATTCACACCGGTAGATCTGTGGATAGGATTCTTCATGATTCCTTTCTTTATATTATAACCATATATTTGCTTATTGCTGATGAAAAACTTCATTTCCACAATTGATTCACAGCTGAGCACATCAAAAAACTGCACAGACCATAAAATAGGAATCACTGCTTTCCGAGCTGCTTTCACTATTTATGTTCCCACGCTTCACATCATCATTATCATGATCAATATGCACAGAATCCCGTATTTCGTCCAGGGCTGTAAGGGCCAGTATGCCAGTAAGGGGGCTCGGTCTCTACATATTTGTCATATCTCCACACCACCATCTGCATGAACTATTTTTGAATTGTTGAGTGACTGAGTGACCGTGTCCCGTGAATGTCCGAATGTCGTGACTGCACTCAACTCACTAAAACCAATCAAACTATGCCATCGGCCGAGACTGCCGAGAGCACCGCTGAGAGGGAGCGAGGCTCAACTCATTAACGATTTTTAAGGTTATGTAGGTTTGACAGGAAAACAATTGAACTGAGTGTTTCCTCGAGTTGACCGTATGGCGGTACTACTGTATCGGCCACAGAACGCTGTAGGTGATTTCCCCTGTTTGGGCAGACCAGATACTCCAGCTCACTAGATTTTTTCTCCATATTTAGCAGACAATGGGTATTACATTATAGTATGTGAATAATAATATACTGAGTGTTAGATTATAGAATGATATGTCCATTATAAATATAAGCAGTTACATATCTTACAATATTATTGTTATTCTCAGATCATTTGCCTTTACTAGTTGCATATAAATAGAAAGCTATACCTGAGATATACTTAGTGAGAATATAAATACCAATTTTTTATAAAGTAAGGTACATATTTTCCAATGAGCTGCAAGTGCTTTATTTCTGATTGAAACCAAAAATTGACAATACAATAATTCGTAAATGCCGCTTTTTTGATCCAATGGGATGTTTCCTTTGAATAAATGGGATCCGCAACACTGTTGCCAAATTTAACTCCACCAACTTCGTTCTATTTCGTACGAAATCGTATGACGATAGCGAAAGCATAACGAACTACATATAGAGTACCGGAAAGCGAAGTCGTATACTTCGCTTCGTTTCGCTTTCGCTACGCTTTCGCTATGCGACACAAGTTACAGAGTCCCACTGCAGGGTACTAGTTCAGTGGACCTCTCGAGAACAGCGAGAGCAATGGTGCCGTCGATCTTCTAATAGATGGCGACATTGCACAATCATGACATCTGTCAGTTTTGAAATTGTCGCAGCTTTTTCGAATTCATAGTTGAATAATCCCACTGTTACATATGTTCCGCTTACCTGAAATGCCATTAGCCATTTCGCTCATTGTGACGTAGAGAAATCATAGTAGGCGGTCGAGTGATTTTTCTGAAATTTTTAATACGTAATAATGGCTGAATACGCGCACCATATCTTACTCAAGGTCTATTAGTTAAATAGCATTGTATCTTACTTCCATCATTCTCATAATACCTTATCTTCTGATAACTTTGAGATTTTCCGCAGCAAGGCAGCATGCTACTAATTGAATAACTGGCAAGAGACGTTTGGTCTTGGTCACGTCATATATCAAACTTCAACCTCTATATGAGGTTATGTTATGATTTTGCAATTTTGTTTTGCCGCCTTTTTATTTGTTTATGGTAATCTAGATGTAATAATTTATAATTTATTAGATCTTTCATCTTTGGTTGGTGGTTCAGTCGAAGGATTATATAAAAACAGTGAAATAATATAAATAACAAACCCTTGATTCACGAACATTGGCAAGGTACATTGGAATAGTCCTCCTGAGTCAATATATATGCTAGCTTTTATATTCACTCTTATTTGTATTCATTTCTGCTGAAGAAAACATCAATTTTCCGGAGATATGCCTGAGAGGGTAAGAATATGATCTGTAATAAATATTCTGTCATATTACTACTGAAAATTTTATGAATAAAGCCTGAAGAATCTCCAGTACCAACCCCTCGGTCCAATGTGTCTTCACCTGGTCCTGATTTTGAACCTTTTGAAGATGAAGGGGCTCTTCTTGGAGACATGGATGACAACATGGTGGAAGAAGATGGGGAGGAACTTTTTGGGGATAATATGGAAAAGTATATTCATTTGTGTGATACAATTTTCTTTGTAATGTGATGTAAATATTGTTTCAGTGATTATCGCCCTATGCCTCATTTAGATCACTATGATGACCGTGTTCTAGATGAAGAAGATTATGATCAATTGTCTGTTGGGGAACGCCTTGCTGCTGAAGAGGAATTACGAAGAAGAGATAGGGAGATGGGTATATTTCGTAGAGATGACAGAGAGCTATTCTATGATCAAAGTGATGATGAGGAAGATCCCAGACAAAGAAGACGGAAGGAAGCTGAAAAAGCAGCTACTGGAGATGTTGAAGATACAGATATGATTGAATCTATTGAAAATTTGGAAGACACCAAAGGGTATTCTATCAAAGACTGGGTAATAATGATGGGCCCTAGAACAGAAATTGCAAATAGATTCAAAAATTTTCTGAGGACATATGTGAACAGCAAAGGCCAGTATGTGTACAAGGAGAAAATCAGGAGAATGTGTGAGAATAATCAGTCAAGTTTCAATGTTGAGTTTCCCAATCTTGCTAATAAAGAGCATGTTCTGGCATATTTCCTTCCTGAAGCACCATTTCCTATGTTGGAGATTTTTGATGAAGTTGCAAAAGACATTGTTTTATCTATGTACCCTAGTTATGATAGAGTTACTAATGAAATTCATGTGAGAATATCAGATCTACCACTGATAGAAGAACTACGTACATTCAGGTGAGAGAAATGGAAAGCATGTACTTACTATTAACCATAAAAAGTTGATACCATTTCATAATTTTTTTAACAATCATGAACTTAATGATTCATGACTGTGTAATTCAAGTCAAACAAGTACAAAATATATCTGGAATACCAAATTATTATTTAGAAAAAACCTGTAGGTACACATGTTTCAGCAACTGAGTTGTTATCCTCAGTAGCACTGAAAACTGACCAGCATCTTTTGAATACTTCAGAATTTGTGGAGATCTAAGTGTAATGTATTATGATACTTCTTCATAATTCATAAGTAATAAAAATGCATGTTTCCTTATAGGGAGGTCTTATATGCTGTAAGCTGTCCCATTTTTTTCAATCTAATTGCTATAAATGAATAAATGAATCCACTTTATTACAAATCCCTTCAAAATGTGGTGAAGTAACAGATTATAGAATTTTATTCAACTTTGAAATCAAAATTGTTGATTGAACTACCCTAGAAACTGATTTTTTTGTGTTTCATGACCTACTTGATAATTTCTATTCTAAACTAGTTTGGTGAACTTAATTTCTTCACACATGTCATCTAAACATAGTTACTCAAATTCACTCCTGATGAATTCCTTTAAGTCTTCAAATTGCCAATCTGAATGCACACTACTTCCCAATTGCTGATGAAACCATTCTAGTCTACACTAAAAAAGATGTATCTCTACTGGAGGAAAAAGTGAATAACAATCTTCAAAGATACTCATTCAAATTGGCTCACTCAAAATGAATTGAAAATCAAATCTAAAGAAAACACACATATTATCCAAAAACAAAGAATCATTTGAATTCAATATAAAAATCAGTGATGCTTTGATAGAGAGAGTACAACATACAAAATATCTGGGATTGGTGCTTGATGATAAATTGAACTGGCAAAAACATACAGAACACATAACTAACAAACTTGCTGTCAGGACTACCTCAACAACATAAACAGAATTATTATGCCCTATAATTCCCCCTTGTCAATATTTCTATATTTGATTATCACCTGGAGAGTATCATCAAAAAAAATGTTCCCAATAAGATGAAAATGATCAATCAATCATTATTTCTATTCTTTTACTCAATTCTACTGGCTATTGACCTAGGTACTTCAGCCTCAACTAAAAAATTGTTCTGGATAATGAAGAGATTTTTTCAGTTTGGAGTAAACATCATAATATTTTTACTTTGACTTCAGTCACAGCTTGCCGCATTTTAGGTTGCTATCTTTCTTTAGTCCAGAAGCGCCCATACCATAAGGCAGGCATAATCAGAAGGTGTATATATGTTGATATGCGACGGCGGCTGTGTTCTCCAGTCTTGCATAGCTAATACATGCCTTGAACTCAGGGAGAGTCCATCTAATCATAATTTATCATTCTTAACATTTCTACATTAATATTTTTAGTTTTTGCCAATACATGAAACTATTACATGAAATTAATATTACTTCATTCAGATTTTCCCCAAATTGTCAAATATTTATTAGAAATACTGACCGGCCATCTAAGATATTACTTCTGACGTGTGGTCCTACCCACCATTTTTTTTTCATTTCATCATTATGAGATCTTTTCCATGTATTTATTTTATTTGTTCAATGGGTGAACTTTTGCCGAGAATCAACATCACTTTGTATATCCCTACTACAAATATAAGTTAAAAACAAAAAGCTTGTATTGGGATCATATTATGTTCTAGACCACATAGGCACATAGCCACAAAACTACTTCCAGCTCAGCTCAGTTCAGTGTATAATCATTTTTTTCTAATATGAATATTTTTGGGTTCGTTTCACAATTAATAAGCATCAGAAGGTATAAATTACCCCAAGATTTAAACTTTTCCATTATTCAAGATTGATGGCTTTGTAGACAAAGCTAAATCATGAGGAAATCTCTGAATGAAAATATAGGACATTCAATTGTTGGCTGACTGAACAGTTTCTTTTTATTTCTTTCCATGTAGAGTGGATTTATGATTGTTTTTTCTCTGTATATGTTGCTATTCAAGTTGTTTTCTATAAGCAGGCATTGGAGAAATTCCAGGTACAACAGAAATGTAGATTAATTTACTAGGGTCATAAGATACCTCTTGTCCTAGGAAATAAATCTGACTTGGTGTTTTCAATTCATGATAACTTTCTCCACATCAGTGTAATCATTGCTGGTTACAATAAATTTGAACGGTGATAATGGTTCTTCAATGATTAGACTGATGATGACAATTGTTGTCATGAGCTTTGCAGCTCTTTCATAGTGGGATGTAATATTGAGTGTTGAAATGATTGAATAGTTATTCATACACCAAGGTAGTAAAGTAAAGTATTAACCAGGGATCAAGATTATATCCCCAGGGGGGGGGTATACCTATAAGGTCCCATGGTAATATTATTCTTTACTACCAAGGTGTATATTAAATTTTTTCACCACTAGCAGGATATTTCAATCACTCTAATTCTGTTGAACTGAAATATAGACCTATTGTCATTATGAATGCACTTTTGTGCAATTCTGATTAAAATCTAGTAGCCATGATCATGACAGCATAGGTCAAGTCTCTATTGATCATTCTAGTGCCATTATTGTGAATCTTGCATAAGAACAGTGAATTCAGGTTAATTATAGGTGGCTATGTCTCTCATATACGTATTAATAATCAATACGGATAATCTCTATCTGTTTCCATAACGAAACATGAGGCCGATTTTTGAAGACAAATGATGGCTTCATCCTGTCACCCGTCTGTTTTCACGGTCATTTTTTTCCAAGTGATGAAGGAAACCTGCACTTTAGGGGTTTCTTCATCTCATATCAACTCAGGAATGTCTGGAAATCACCGTTTCCTCAATATTTTACGTATAGTACTGAATAATCCATAAGGGAGTAAGTGACCCCTTCCGGCCTCTGGAATTGACTTATCTAGAAATTCACGAAATTGTTCCGAGATGTTAACTATGGCAATCCAACTGAATGAAGGATTCATAATTTCACAAGCACACTATTGTAGCAGCACTAATATGAATCGACGATTTCACAGAACCTCACACAATATTTGAAAAACGCTTATTTTGTTGTTGTGGAAGTTCTGCTGCCCTTAAAGCGGATATCTTCTCCAGGAATGAATTCGATCGTTTTACAGTGCAGTATGGTTTGAATATTCCTTGAACTTTTTCAAATCTCAGAAATGCATAAAAAACAATATTGAACATTGATATTTCACCTCCTGTATAAGGAAGGTCGAACTTTCCAAAACCATTTCTAGATATTGACTTGATGATTAGAGAAAGATGATTTGCAGAAGGAGGATGAAAAAAATTCTGGGGAATACAGAACTTTTTTGATTATGATTATGTTTGATCACTTGGTATGTCATAACTGGAAAATTTAAACAGAAAGGACGCATCTTTTGAACACTTTATTCTTATTGAAAATCAGTTGATTTGCAAAAAAGTTATCGCATTTTGAAAAATTTTGAAAATTCAAGTGGTCCACTTGTTTCTTTGAGCACTTTATAATACAGTCGATAAACCATTCAATATATTAATTTATTTATGGAAACATTTTTGTACCAATGCAGCGTTATTTCCATGAATATACAACCAAATATCTAAATATCTTGATGGGGTGTGAGAGTTCAGCTAAAAATAACAAAGTGCATTCATGAAATCAGTGTCAGTTACTGAATTGCCACATCTGTAGCTTATTTGATACAAATTATTCCTTTACTCAGAAAACTACATGTTAATCAACTTGTGAGAACTCTCGGAGTAGTAACAGCAACTACTGGTGTTCTGCCCCAACTCTCAATTGTGAAATTTGATTGTAACAAATGTGGATGCCTCATCGGTCCATTCACGCAGTCCCAAGAAGCAGAGGTCCAGCCAGGGGCTTGTCCTGAATGTCAAAGTCAGGGACCATTCATGGTGAGTCAAAGTTGGAGATTTAAAAAAAATGTTTTTTCAAGATCAGCATATTTTTTGCATAAAATATAATTTTATTATTATAATTCAATTCTCACTTGTGGATCCTTGTCTATTTGACTGGCAATGGTCAATCCATTATTTCTTGAAAATTTCATCACAGGATTTTTAATTGGCATATTAGATCAAATATTGTTGTCAAAGAAATGGAAAAAAATCATTTTGTTATAAATCATTCCATTAAATGTTTGTGAAAAACGATACAATAGATATATAAGGGAATTCAGTTATTCAGGCTTCAAAAATGGATACTATTTTAACACTTAGCAAAGCTTTCGAAAATTTTTATATTCTTCTTCAAGGGTGCAATGTGAGTTGAAATATAAAATGACTAATATTGAGTATAAAAAACATAGATATTGTTGACATTTAGAATTGAAAGGGGTTTTGAAAACTTATAACTATTAGGTATTGACTAGAATAGTTTTTCATTAGCTCTTTTATATCATTCCAAGCACAAATCCTTTCATATAGTGGTTAATGGGGAACATTTCATTTTATTATACAACACTGCTAGAATAGTCTAATATTTTTAATTATCTATCTCAGAGCTGGTTGCATAAAGTTTTTCTTTGATGTGACAAGACATGGTTTAGGTACTGAACTCTATGTTACTCTGGAAGGGAGACCGCTATTTCTTCTAATAGCATAGACTGGCTTAGAGTATCAATCAATCATTTATTTGTGTTATTATACAATAAATGTATTTACACAGGTCAAATGTCATATACATAGAGGGAGAGTGACTTCTCCATTGAAAAAATTATTTCATCTAAAATGTCTTGAAAACTACACATTCAACATCAAATCAATGAATCATAAGGACACAAAATGATAGTTTAAAAACTGATAAAATGCTCTTTTCAGTAAAAATTTCTTGAGATTTCCTATGAATTTTGAACCTTCCATTTGTTTAAATTTGTCAGGAAAAACATTTAAAAAACGTACAGCAAGGCACCTAGTGCCACCTTGTCATGTTTCTAGTCTACAGAATTTGGGTTTCAAGTTTTTTCTGTTTCTTGTATCATGGTCATGATTATCCTGGTGAGTCTCTTGTAGATGAAGGTTGTTTTGAAAATAACTTCGAAATTCAAGAATGAAAACACATGGGAATGTCAAAATGTCTAGATCTCTAAATGCTTGCCTACATTCATCACCATAGGGTAAACCTGCTACAACTCTAACTGCTCGTCGTTGAATTTTGAAAACCTCAACAGCACTCGCAGCATGTCCCCATACCAGAAAAATAGCACTGTCTTACAACCATTCTGTCTACACACTGATAAAGATTTCTTGGAACAAAAATGTTTGTGTTTAGTTTATTGCATACTTTTTCTACATGTGGCCTCCAGTTTAATTGGAAATCTAAGAGAACTCCCAGAAACCCTACAGTAGGTGGAATCTCACAGTCGGGTAATTCCCCTAAAGTTTTTTTTTTAATTCACTGCCTTTTTACAATCTATCTCAACACAGAGTATTTAGTAAAATAGTTGAAAGTTTGAGCTTGGAAGTGAGATGCCCTTTGACATTTCCACTTATAGAACACTAATCACTATTAGTTGTGTTGGAGAATGTCTTCGGGCCAGTTTTTGTTCAATCTTCTGTGAATTGGTCCGTCCCTGTAGAGGTTTTCTATTTGATCATTTGGATGGCCTGTTAGTCTAATTTGGTAGTTGGTGGAAACTGTTCTAATAACTTCTGTGACATACGGAATTTGGAGATCCTCATGGAGAGTTTGGTTGCTAATGTACCAAGGAGCATCAACAATAGATCAAAGTGTTTTTGACTGGAATCTTTGTATGGTTTTTAATTTTTTATTCTAGTTGGTTTTGCACAGCCCATAGCTGCACTCCATATGTCCATATAGGTTTTAGCATTACTTTGTAAAGCAGCAGCTTGTTTTCGGTCGATAGCTTGGATTTACGGCCTATCAGCTAGTACATTTGTTTGAATTTGATGTCTAGTTGCCTTCTTTTCGTTTGTACATGTTTTTCCCATGTTAACCTCTGATCTAGGTGGAGGCCCAAGTACTTCACATTGCTTTTGGCTGGGATTGGCACTCCATCGATGGTGACTGGTGGGCAGTTATCATGGCACGTAGTGAACGTTACTTGAACTGATTTGGTTTGGTTGATTTTAATTCTCCATTTTCTATACCAAGCATTCAACTGGTTCAGGTGAGTTTGCATGTTTACCGAGGAGGTGGCTGGATTTCTATTCACAGAGAGGATAGCGACATCATCTGCAAAGGCAGCTATCGTTGTGTTCTCTGTTTCAGGCAGGTCTTTGGTATACAGGAGGTAGAGGAACGGCCCTAACACACTTCCTTGGGGCACGCCAGATTTTATAGGATACTTGTCTGATGTTGAGTCGTTGTGTTACTGAGAAGTATCGTTCAGTTAAGTAGGACTTAAGTAAAAGGTAAAAATTGTTTAGAGTATTCTTTATCTTGTAGAGCATACCTGCATGCCATACATTATCGAAGGCCTGAGAGACATCTAGGAATACTCCATTGCAATACTCTTTTCTTTCTAGAGTTTTGCCGATGATGTTGACTATTCTGTGTGCTTGATGGATGGTAGACATATTCTCTCGGAACCCAAACTGGTAGTTGGGTAAGATGTTTTCTAAATCATATTCAACTTGGATTCTTTTGAGCAGGAGTCTTTCGAATATTTTGCTAGGGATGGGTAAGAGGCTGATCGGTCTGTATGACGATGTTTCTTGCGGGGGTTTGCCGTTTTTATGGATCATTATTATGTGGGCATATTTCCAGATGACAAGGAAGTAGCAAAGGAAGACGATAGCTTTCCTGGGCAACTTCTTAAGGACTTGTGCAGTTATCAAGTCGTAACCTGGTGCTTTCCTATTGTTGAGTTTTCTTATTTCCATTTTGACTTCCTGTGGGCTAATGGGATTGATGGGTGGTGACATTGGGCACGGTACATCCAGAAATTCTTCAACGTTGTTACCGTAACCCGGTATCGCTTCTGTTGGCTCGAAAACGTGCGAAAGGTGATCAGCAAAGTTGTCAGCTTTTTCTTGATTTGAGCGCGCCCATCCATTGGTAGGGGTTTGTATATAGAACACTGGCGGCGTCGGTCTTTTAAACTTTCTCGTTGCTTTCCATAAGCTATAGTCATCAACAGATAGGCCGTAAAGTTAATAAAGTATTGAGTGTTTTAGTCTCGTTTAAGAAGAGGAGGTTTGCCGAGAACCAATTTTCGGCATTCGACTGTACCTCTTTGGAAATCTCTAATAGGATTTTGAAGTATAGCTAATTGTGATGTCATCTGCAAAGAGGGTGAATCTTGCAGGTGAATCTATACTGGGGAGGTCGTTGATGTATGTTAGAAACAGGACTGGTCCCAAAACTGATCCTTGGGGGGCACCTACAGTTATATCGCTTTTGTTGGATTCCACTCCTTCATTTTTGACTACCTGAAACCTATTCGAGAGATTGATTTCAGGATAATAATGCTATTTTGATGGAAATTATATCGTTCATGTTTCTCTAGGAGTAAAGAATGGAAGACAGTCAAATGCTTTGCTGAGATCACAAAACGTGGTTGCAACAATCTCCCGATTTTTAAAGGCTTCTTGAATGTTAGAAACACAGTCTAGAATGGCCGAGGTTGTGCTACGGTTTTTCCTGAACCCAAATTGACGGTCCAAAAAGATTCTATAAGATTCAAGGAACTGAACCATTCTCAATGCTATAATCTTTTCTATATTTTTTGAGAAAATAGGTAGAAGGGATATAGGCCTATAGTTTGTTACCTCAGTTACATTCCCTTTTTTATAGATGGGCACAACTACAGCTTGTTTCAAAACTTGGGGGAACACAGATTATTTTAGTAAGTGGTATGACAAGAAGTTTTTTGATAGATTTTATAGTAATCATATCAAAGCCAAATGGATCCTCACTCTTGTAATTTTTGAGAGAATCAATGATATCTCTCACTTCATTGAAAGGTGCCTCTTTAAAGAAAAAACTATGGCAAGTAGCCTTAGGAGCTTTGACCACATTTAAAATTGGGTCTAAGACTGATCGCTTGATCTTTGGATATTCTGTGCTATACTTACACAATAATTATTAAACTCGCTGGCACATATTTCATTTTTGTTTTCTGATTTTCGCTGAATAACCCTATACTCATCAAATATTTGATCTCTTCTTCTAGATCATCAGAGGAAAAATTTGTATACACCTCATTAAGGAAAGTCAGATGATCTCTGAACCGTTTTAGGTCATTATAAAACCAATTTATGATATGCGTTAAGAGCTTGTTCTAGAGTTGACAGAAACGTGTTAAAACAGCCTGATGGTGCCCTATAAATTGCTAAACAGAAATTTTCAATTTTCCTATGAAAACCCTACATATCTCTGCACATTTCTCTTGGCTCATTCGATTTATATTGGATTAAGATTCATAATTCAGATTAGGATCCAAAAGAATCGCCACTCCGCCAGCAGTAGTTGTTTTACGGCTAAAATGGCCAGCTTTGCTGTAATTCAAGATATGTATGCTTTTAATTTCTTCATCATTTAACCAGTGCTCACTTAAACATACTATTTCTGACAATGTCTCCATTGGTTTTATTCTTAACTGATTGGATATTTATATGGAAGAGACCAATTGATTCATCATTTATTGTCTTGCAAGACTTAAGATTCATAAAAGGTTGATGATAACACCATTGGGCCAGATTTTCCCATCCATAATGGTTTCTTTGAGAGCAGCTGGTACACCAATTTTGAAAGATGACACATTTTTTGTACTAAGTTTTTGACATACATAATTTTGTTGATAGTTCAACACATCTTGGGCTTGCGTACTTCCCTCCAAGCCAGAAACAAATAGCCAGAAGTACTCTTGTTCAGCAGAAATCCCTTGGTGTTTTCACTTGCACCCATAATTGGTGGTGGACGACTTTTTGTGTCCCTTTAAATGATGGTTTTCTTCCTTCTTCCAACAACGTTTGTCCATTCATTACCAATTTGTTCAGCTTGACTGGAGGCTTGAATAATTTCGTCCTGTGGTATACCATTGTTTAAGTTAATTACATTGTCCATCACGTTTTGTTGCAAATTTGACAACATATTTTTTAATTTATTCCTCTTATTGAGGTGATTGGTTGAATCTTGTTCTTCTTCACTTATTATTATGATTGGGTTTAACTCCTTGGCCAGCTAAGCCTATGACAGAACCATGTCAGAACAGTTCGGAACCGTGACAGCCAATCAGCTTAAGCTGGCCTTGGTGTTATTGGTGTTGTTATTATATACCTTTGACGACTATTCTGGACAACAGCATATGTATCAAAAATCAGTGTAATTGTATTTATTCAACTAAGAAGTTGACGTTATCCTATTTTTAATACATTGACAACTCAACAATTCCTATCTATCAAAAATAGACAACATATAAGGTGCTCATAAATATGATTGCATATAAAGGATGATGATTGATTCTCCAACATTCCCCCTCAATCATAATCTCACAATGATAATCCCAGTTCTCTCGCAAATTTGTAATGTTTTACTCGGCACAATCCTTTGGTGAATATATCCGCGATTATTTCTTCAGTAGGAATATAATCCACATTGACTAGTTTCTGTTGAACAGCTTGTCGTACGAAGTGATGTTTTATATCTACATGCTTAGTACGATTATGGAATACCGGATTCGCTGACAACTTGAGGGCACTCTGATTGTCAGAATAAATCGAAATTCTGTCATTCGCACCAAACATCTCTTCTAATAATCTCTTCAGATGAATTGCTTCTTTACAGGCTTCTGTGAGCGCCATATACTCAGCCTCGGTCGATGAAAGTGCAATAGTTGACTGTTTTTTACTTTCCCAAGTAACAGCTCCATTTGATAATTTAAAAACATATCCTGTATAGGATTTTCTATCAATTTCATTACTTGCCCAGTCTGCATCCACGTAACCAACAATATCATTATTTGTAGGTTCATAACAAATAGAACAATGTATGGTTCCTTTCAAATATCGCAGAACTCGTTTGGCATATTTCCAATGCTCCTCTGTATAACAGTTGTTAAATTGACTTAAGACACTGCAAACATGAGCTATGCCAGGACGAGTGTTTACTGCAAGGTACATCAAATGTCCTATAAGATTCTTATATGGTATATCTGGTGAATTCTTATCCTCATTATCTGTAGGAAAATGTAATTTCAAATTCGATTCCATAGGAGTTGAAATTGTTTTTGCATCTGTCATTCCAAATAGTTCTAGGATATTCCTGATATACCGTTCTTGATCTATCATTACTCGTCCATTTTCTCGTCTTATTCTAATTCCTAGGATTTCTCTCGCTTCTCCTAGATCCTTCATCTTGAATCGATATTCCAACTCTTTCTCGAGATTATTCTTCTCGTCTTTGTTGAGAAATCTTCCACATAAAGAGCAACAATAGTTATTTTCCTGCTATCAAACTTGAAATACAAACAAGGTTCATTTTCAGATTTCTTGAAACCAACTTAAGCAAGTACAGCATTCACCTTCAAATTCCAAGATCTTGACGCCTGCTTTAATCCATAGATTGCTTTATGAAGACGACATACTTTAGCTTCTTGTCCTTTCACAACATATCCCTCAGGTTGACTCATATAAACTTCCTCTTCCAAGTCTCCGTTCAAAAATGCAGTGCAAACATCAAAATGAAACATTTCCAAACTATATTCCGCTGCTAGAGCAAAAAGAAGACGTATTGTAGATCTTCTCACAACAGGAGAGAAAGTTTCGAAATAATCAACACCATAATGTTGTGTTACAAGTGCTACAAGTCTCGCTTTGAATTGTTCACCATTTAGACCTGATTTGATTTTATACACCCATTTACAGCTAACAGCATTTTTGTTGGCTGGCAAATCCACTAATTTCCATGTTCCATTAGCAATTAGACTGCGATATTCTTCTTGCATATCAAGTTCCCATTGAGATTTCTCAGCACTGGCTACTGCTTCTTTGAACGTCTCAGGCTCTCTTGCAAGAACATTTTCTGAACATACAGTATTATAAAGCACAAAATCAGGAAATTGCTTCGTTCGTTTATCTCTTTTAAAATATCTTCGATTTCCTTCTTCTTCAGATACTGATTCTATCGTGGATTCTTCTAATATAGATTCTTCATTCTCTCTCACGTCATCTAGCAGATCACCAGCTTCTTCTGATTGGCTCATACGTTCTCTTTGATTCAGGACTTCTGCCTCAGAAATTTCTTCAGAATCACTACGTATGTGCCATTCATTCGTAGAGTATTTGACTGGAATACTCACGCCAGAAAATGTATTCTCTACGAAAACAACATCACGAGCTCTTGTAATTTTCTTTGGATGATCTGGATCAAAAAGTCGATATCCCATATTTTCTTCACAATAGCCAACAAAAATCAATGGTTTACTTTTGGGATCTAACTGTTTCCGTTTTTCATCTGGTATGTGACAATAACAAATACAACCAAAAACTCTCAAATGACCGAGATCTACCTTTTCACCAGTCCACTTTTCTTCAGGTGTCAGTCCAGGTACAGCTTTATGTGGGATGTGTGTAACATGGGTAGGTAGATGATTGCATAGATTTACGTTGAGCGAATTTCTTGAAGATTTAATCAACCTGTATCGGAGGGGCTTAACTTGGTGTGAACCTCGAGTATTATAGTCATGAAAATGGGAGTTGAATTGTAGTTTATTCTTATTGTTATGAATTTCCAGCACTCGATGATATATGTAAAGCGATGGTAATGACATAATACCATATTGTTGGTAATAATTTATAAACACAACCGTTTTTAGTGTCCTTCACTAACAAGCTTGTCAATTCCTACAAACATGCAGCGTCGTTTTATAGTTATTTATGTATTAAGGGAATTATGAGGGCCTTAATTACCGATGGCAAAGTTTGCGTCCCGAGTGCCTCTGGTCCGAGGGACAGCAATTGCCTGAGGTTATTGAGGCTCAGTAATTCCCGTGATACATAGATAATTTTATTTCTGACTGATTTCATTCATTAGATACCTTCCCGATTGGAAGTTAGACATGTTTTTCCATATAGTTTCAATGTCATCAGAACGTCAGATGATGATCTTGACTACCGCGAATAGGAGATTCCTTATTGCTACGTTATTGCGTGGTTGTTGCTATGCATTTCTTATTTAATTTAAGCTAGAGGGAATTATAGCATCTATAACATCCCAAGGGAGTTATGACCCTCATAATAAATATCGTAACTATGACGATATAAGCTTATAATGTCACTGTCAGAAATAAAAAAATAAACAACCCTTAGCAACCTCTTCAATGTTTCCATAGCAATTGCATAGAAACTCACTTGTTCTCAGTTCCCTACCAGAATGCAGTAAATACTATGAGGAGAAATTTATGAAGTAAACAACGTTGTTGATCTTTTCGTGAAAAATAAAATCTTGTATGCCCCACGAGCGTTACTATAGATCCTAACGCCCATCGGGCAGCATTCATCCCTCGGACCAAAGGCCCTCGGGTGAATGTTATCCTGTTAGGATCTATATAACGCACTTGGTACATGAATAACTGTTTTCAGATAAACATGGAACAAACCGTATATCGAAACTACCAAAAAATCACACTTCAAGAATCTCCCGGCCGTATTCCGGCAGGTAGAGTCCCGCGTGCAAAAGATTGCATTCTCCTCGCAGATCTGTGCGATCGTTGCAAACCAGGAGACGAAGTTGATGTTACAGGGATCTATACAAACAGCTACAACGGTTCTCTAAACACCGACAACGGCTTTCCGGTATTCTCAACTGTTATTTTTGCTAATCACTTGCTGGTGAAAGATTGCAAGCAAATCGTGCAGTCGCTTACAGACGATGACATTAATTCTATTATCAAATTGAGTAAGGATCATAGAATCGCTGAAAGGATTATAGCTTCCATAGCCCCATCTATATTTGGTCATAACTATATTAAGAGAGCGTTGGCACTGGCGTTATTTGGTGGGGAACCAAAGAATCCAGGTAAGTGTCCATCTAACATTAATACTTATTGTTTACTTAAGACTTTAGCATGACGCTTGAATTTTTTGAATAAATCTGCAATATCTCAATGGAACGTAGTAAGTCGCGATATAAAATAAGCGTACGTCACCTATCGGAGTTCTTGAAAGATGTCAAAGTGGCCAGTTTACTTGGTTTTCATTGGTTCACATTTGCTTTTTGTTTGTGCTTATCTGTCATATCATCAAAACAAACCGCATAAAAGTGTTCAAGTTGTTCCCGTCAGGTGAGGCGACGTGTTATCTTTTATCCCGAATAGCTATCAATGAAATTATGGACGCAATAGTTTCAATTTCCTCAGTATTCTATACAAGAGTTTTCAAAATGTTTGATTAAATGTGTTCAAGTGAAGGAGCGATTGATGATTGAAAGTTGATTAAAATCAATAATGATAAATGTTATTGATGATCATTTAATTCATACTGGCTGAAATAGGTATATATCGGTCATATTTATCTTATACAAGGTGATCTATGTAAGTGTTTGGAAAAAAATGCATATAAGTCTGCCATGTGAGAAAGTTCCTACAAAGTTTCAGAGCAATTCGAGTAAATTTATGACAGTTATTCAAACTAAAATCTGCGATGGAACGCCTCTGAACAATCACGGAATTCCCTGGCAGTGTGAACCAGCCTTGCAGGTGGCTGGCTGGCTGCCATTTGTCAGTCCAGTGAGGGCGTTTAACTTATAATATTTCGTGTTTATCGGCAATCGAGTTGGGAATAGTTTCGATATGACAGCGTTTACTTCACAGGAATATTGCGATTGATTTTTACTCATGATGCAATTCTTGAACATTTGCAGAAGTGTATTCGTGAATGCGTTGGATTAATAATTGGAGCATAATATACACCTTGTATTTTTCCAATTAAATGTCAGTAGATAGTAAGTAGATCAAAAGTTAAGATAGGGACATGTGAGTCTTTTTGACCAATGATGAATAATTTAGACACAAAAGAATCTTAAAGTTCAAAAATTTCGATTCTAAACAACTTATATCTGTAATCATTCCCGCTAGACTCCAAGTATGATATATTGATGAAATCGGCTCTTCTAGGAGAATCTCAAAATGCAATGAAATACAAGGTGCCGTCCGTACTTCGTTGGTATGTATGTACATACCAACTGCCCATCGACCTCCATCGCGATCTCCATTAATTAATTGATGTAGCATAGTTGCGATATTTTTTTTTCCTCAATCGTATTTCTCTACGAATTTGTACCATGACCACTTTTGCGATAATAATGAACTCGTTGATATATTTTTTTTCATTTTACGCACAATGCGTAAAAACAAGCTTTCACTAATTTCATTAGTTATTATTTTCATCATTAAAGAGATGTTGATCTAACCTGGACACTTTGTAGGTCAGAAACACAAGATCAGAGGGGACATGAACGTACTTATATGTGGAGATCCCGGTACTGCCAAGTCTCAGTTTCTGAAATTCGTCGAGAAAATTGCTCCCAGGGCTGTTTTCACCACCGGCCAGGGTGCCAGTGCTGTCGGTCTTACAGCTTACGTCAGGAGAAATGCCGCCAGCAGAGAGTGGACCCTTGAGGCTGGTGCATTGGTATTGGCAGATAAAGGAGTTTGTTTGATCGATGAGTTTGACAAGGTATTATGAGAATTATTGTACTGAGATGCCTAGATTTTTCAGAACCATAATCATTTTTTGACAGTGATGTATGAAATGTATGTCCCAAAGTTGCTTGAATGGGAGACTTCACTCCAAGTTGCCAACCTGAAAACCTCTACCAATGTAGAAGCAACATTATCAAAGTTTTATTACTCAAATGACTTTTGGTGATATCTGATTGTAATAATAGAAGTTATTCAGAAGAAAAATTAATTTTTGGGAACTCCAGTTCTGATAAGTTGAAAATTATGTTGATGCACCTGCTTTCTCTTTGAAATATGTCATATCGTCGTCAATTTTATAATTTGTCACATTTTTGTTACATATTTAAGGTTATTTTATTTATGCCAAAGAAATTTGATCGTTGCTCAATTGAGTTCTGAAAATCGAGAAAATAATGAAGTTTCAACCTTTTCCTGAAATGAAAAATAACTCAAGGAAGTGTTGAGTAAATGAAACCATAACTTTGTGGAAACTAAGATATCACAGTGGATATCTTGAAAATAAAAACACTAACCTACCTATTATGTAATGATAAGCATTTTCCTAGTGAAAAATAACAATATGGAAAAGAAATCATTCAATAAATACTTTTGAAGCTCACACCACGGCTCACCTTAGATAAAAACTGGTCAAAGTTTCACAAATGTAGGTATACAACAATATCAAAATAACATACCTTTATTCAAATAATTAGACACAGATAGTTTAAGGGTAGCTTGAATCGTTAGACTATTTGAACATCACAAAATTTATTATTGCATGAGAAATCATGTGTAGAGTGGAGAATATGAATGAACAACAATAAATATAAAGACCTAATGACAATGTTATTTTCATTACCATTACGACGAGTCGAGAGTAGCCCCAGAACCCTAACATCCAGTTTATTATAAGTTCGCACGTTTCTCATGAGAGTTTCTTAGCTAACTAATATATTTTTAATATTGATGTGTCTTTCATATTAGTATGATGGGTGGGCTTGTTTTTTGTCGAAATTTGAATCTAAAGAGTAATTTTGGACAATCCTTACCACATCAGTATGTTGTAGCAAAGGGTAAAAGGAAATTCACCGCTCTGCATGAGAGTTCGGATACTGTTTCTGTGTATAGCTACCCAAAAAATCTCTCCCCACTTTGAGAAACCCTGCTTTAGAAAAGAAACAAACTTCAGAATGTTTGATAGTCAACAATTTTCATAACTTAAATAAAATCTAGCTATATATTTTCGTTGTGGCTCTCTTTGGCTAATGATGAATACTTTTTGGGCCCAAAACATGGTCACAGGAGAGGTTACTATGGATTGTACAAATAATATAAACAAACCATAACTGAATAAGTGAAATGATTACGAAAATATTCAATGATGAATTCAATACAAAAAGTTGCTTATTGCACTCCATCGATCCAGCAGTTCATTTCAAGTTGTATTTCGTTGCTAGGAAAACAAATTTTGATATGTTGAATTTTGCTGAACGCGAATCTGAAGTTTGCTACCTTGTAACAGTACCAGCTCAGATCGAAAAACGTAACGTAACTGTATTGTGATGTTTTTGAGTGACTTCAGATTTTGCCAATATATTTTTAATTATGTCTGCCTTTCAAACTCTGAATTTTTTCCAAGTTTTCTGTCGTAATACAAAAGGTTATGGACCCAGATCTATGCTGAATGCGAAAAAAAAGTTCATTGTGAAAGGTATAATATGAATCGAAAATAAAATATTCAATATGGACAAGTTCCCAAAATTCGAAAAACTGCATGGAAAATCCAACTTCCATTCCTGGAAAATGACGGTATTCACCTACATGGATTTGAATAACTTGTATAAAATAGTAACGGGAGAATGAAAAAATCCAGCTAATATGACACCTACTGAGAGAACTGAGAATTACGCATCGAATTGTGAAGATTGGTGATATAGGCATGCTCTGGCAAGAGCATTTATTCTATTCAACGTGGATTCCGACATCGTTCCGCAAATAACATGTTTCGCTGATGCAGCTAGTATGTGGAAAAATCTCATTGACATTTTTGACAAAAAGAATGAATACTCCCTTCATTCATTGGTCAAGTCCTTAGTTGGTATTAAATGTGAAAGTAAAAACAGCATACCAGAACATATAGCAAAATATAATGAGCTCTGGTCAAGACTTGTCGAAAGAACAGCAGTAACTGCTGGATCTGATGATGCTGACTCGCTTGAAGCTGCTTTCCGGCCACTTTCTTCATCTCTCAAGGCTAAAGGATCACTTTCCTTAACAACTTTGCCTGATGACTCAGAGAACATAGTTGACAATTTGAAAACCAAACATATGACGACATATGTTCAAGATTAATGGATTTATCAACGAGGTCAACGAGCGCAGAAGATAATCAAGCATTTATTGGAAATCACAGAAGGAGAAAACCCCAAAACCCAAAAATACATTTTAGAGTGCAGTTATTGTAAAGAGAACAAAAAATGGTATAAAGGCCATTCTGTCCAAAATTGTCGGAATTTGAAGAAGAACCAACATAAAGCTCATGTGGTGTGTAATTCAGAATCAGAAGATGAAGATATAGCTTATCCAGCAACTACTTTTTCAAGTGAATCCTGGAAATGGGTTTTTGATAGGGGGGCAACTTCTCACATGTCAGGCAATAGAGAATCGTTTACAACTCTACGTCCCTTCAGTAGTCACATTCGTCTTGGGAACAAAAAAAAGTAAATGTCACGCATATCGGGGAGGTGAAGTTGAAAGCTTTATTGCCATCGGGTGAGACAAAAAATATCACTATTTACGACGTCCTTTACTCACCTGAACTCAAATGTTCCCTGGGAGATCAAATCGAAAGGTATAACAATGCAAGGTGATGAAAAAGATATTGTTTTGTGGAAAGACATTAGAATGGTTGGTTGACCAAACAACAAAATTGAATGCATCGCATGTGAAAAATCAAAAATGACCAGAAAAATACCCAAAACATCTGGAAATGCTTGCTCTGATGTACTAGAAAAAATACATTCAGATGTAGCTGGACCATTCGCCACGAAATCTGTAGGTGGAAAATTTTATTATGTTTCCTTCATCGATGAGCATTCTAGATATGCTCAACTGAAGTTCATTACACATAAAAATGTGGTTGAAGAAGCAGCAAAAGAATATATCAATCGAACAGAAAGACAAACTGGCAAGAAAGTAAAAATGTTCAAATGTGATAATGGGGGCGAGTATCTATCAAGAACATTAGAAAATGTCTTCAAATCATGCGGTATCAAAGTGGAGCATTCAATACCTAGAGTACATGAAACAAATGGACTAGCAGAACGATTCAATAGAACTTTGACAACCATGGCAAGAACAAGTTTGATAGACTCGGAACTTTCTCAGTCACTCTGGGCCGAAGCTGTGGCTTATTCAGTTTATACAAAAAATCGTCTTCCTCATTCGTACCATGGAAAAACTCCGTTCGAACTATTCCATGGATTCACACCCACCATATCTAATCTAAGAAGTTTCGGGCAGAAAGCATTCATTCATATTGCCAAAGAAGATCGAAAAGCTGGTAGTAAATTGTGTGCAAGATCCATAGAATCATCAATGGTCGGATACTGTGACAACACTGATTGGTATCGTTTTTGGACTGGAAAAAGGGTGTCAATTTCGAGAGATTACAAATTTGCATCTGAAGAAAGTGACACTGCAATTATTTTGCCAATGGAAAAAAGAGCAATCAAGAATGATGTTCCTGAGAACGAATCGAGTGTCACTGAAACAGAGAAGCTTTCTGTTGAAAATTCAACGAATAATACCGAAGTTGATATTTCGAATGGTGGTGACGATTCACGTGATGTTCGCTCATTTGACACTATTCGTCGAAGCACTAGAAAACCATGCCCTCGACAATTCGAAGATTTTTGTAGAATGGCTCTGGATGAACCCGCTTCCTATGATGAAGCCATAGCTGGTCCTGAATCGATTGAATGGCTTGCAGCTATCCATGAAGAGTTGGAATCGATGAGAAAAAATAATGTTTGGAAAATCATTAAGAAACCTCCAAATGCAAGAGTAATCGGATGTCGCTGGATATTCAAGAAGAAATTATCCGAGAAAGGAGAAATAATCAAGTTCAAGGAAAGACTGGTTGCCCAAGGATTTTCACAAGTACCAGGAATTGACTTCAGTGAAACATACTCTCCTGTTATTCGGTATAAAACAATTCGAATTTTAATTGCTCATTGTATTCATAATAATATGGTGGCAAAACAGCTAGATATCAAAACTGCATTCTTAAATTGTGATATTGATGTTGCAGCTTACATGAAAATACCTGATGGAGTGAATACAGAAGCAGGGAGAGTATGTCTTCTAAAGAAAAGTATCTATGGCCTAAAGCAATCCCCTAGGCAATGGAACAAATTCACTTGAAACAATAGTCAGCAGATCCATGTCTATTCAGATCAGAGGATATTCAACAAATTGTGGCAATTTATGTGAATGATATCCTGATACTAGGTTCCACAGATGGTAAGGTTGAGGAAATTAAGGATCTACTAGAAGAAAACTTCGAAGTCACGTTCCTTGGTGTTCCAAGTTACCTACTTTCTATTAAAATTGAGTGGACTGAAAGTTATGTCTGCTTAAACCAAGAACAATATATTTTGAGAATCCTCGACAAATATAACTTATTGAACTGCAAGCCCATGTTACAGCCTATGGATTGTGGTGCACAACCCCAAAAAGCAAAACCTCATGATAAAAGAACAGACAAAGCTGTTTATCAATCACAGATTGGAAATCTTCTTTATCTTGCTATGGGCACGAGGCCGGATATTGCGTTCGCTTTGAATGTCTTGTCTCAATTCAGTGCTGATCCCACCGAAGTACATTCAAATATGGTAAAAATATCTTCTGTTACTTGAGAGGAACTCACAAAGAAAAATTATATTACTCTAAAACGACAAATCCTCAAGTTTTCATGTATACTGATGCTTCGTATGCAAGCTGTTTAGATGATCGAAGATCTCAGAGTGGATATGCAGGTTTCTATGGAAATGCCGTGGTCACTTGGTCATCAAAAAAACAGCACAGCGTCTCTGTTTCCACAACGGAGTCCGAATACATGGCTCTGTCGCTTGCTTGTAGACAAGCCATATGGATGAAATATCTATTCAGAGATCTCAATCTAGATATTATACCCATGATCTTATGTGATAATCAAGCTGCGATACACATTTCTACGAATCCAGTTCTACATCAACGCAGCAAACACATTATGTTAGAGAACGGATAATCAATAATGATGTCAACATGGCCTACGTCGATACTAAGAAGAATATTGCCGATCTTCTCACGAAACCATTGAGCATAGTTCATTTCCGAAGATTCCTTGTTAATTTTTTCGAAGCTATCACTGAGGGAGAGTGTTAGAAGTCTACCAGCTCAGCTTTTCAAGATTATTATTTGTTTATTTACATTTATTGATTCACCCTGTATTGTGATGTTTTTGAGTGACTTCAGATTTTGACAATATATTTTTAATTTTGTCTGCCTTTCAAACTCTGAATTTTGTCCAAGTTTTCTGTCGTAATACAAAATTTACTATCAGGGATCATTTTGATGCCTATATTTTTTTATATACACTTTCTTTCACTATTTCATATCTCGAAATTGTTATTACACCTCTATGCTTCATGTTTACCAATTCTTATTTTTAAGTATGATGACTTTGTCGATGAGAATTTCATTTCTTCTGACAATAAAGTATATTGAATTTGATTTGACCTTATGAATTCAAAAGTTAGAAAGTGAAACAGGTCATTTGACGCAGAATTTCAGGCTCTTCAACATTGAATACTATGATATTTTCCATACGTTTCGTCATTATTTGCAATATATGAGCGGAATCCCGGAAAACCTCCGTAGATTTCGAGATTTCTCCCGATTTTTCGACCAGAGCCGGTAGGTACTGGTACGAGGCAGCAAACTTCAGATTCGTTATCAGCACCCATCACAGCGGGCCCATTTTCATTACCCGTTTCAATTCACCGGTAGGTTGTGGTCTGATATCGAATTTTTTTATGTAGATGAATGACCAAGATCGTACCTCGATCCACGAGGCCATGGAGCAACAGTCAATTTCCATCTCCAAAGCTGGAATCGTTACAAGTTTGCAAGCTCGTTGCTCGGTCGTAGCAGCTTCAAATCCCATAGGTGGTCGCTACGATGCCAGTATGACGTTCGCAGAAAATGTCAATCTGTCAGATCCCATTTTGTCCCGATTTGATATATTGTGTGTTGTGAGGGATGAGGTGGACCCAATTCAAGATCAACATTTAGCGAGGTGAGATATTTTTTTATATTATATTTCATACTAAACGTGTGTTCAAGATTATTCAACGTTGAATGTTCTAGTGTTGAATTAGTTTGTTTTGATATCGGATTCAGTTTTTTTTACCCACTTGTTTGATATTTGTGTGATTCAAGTTACTTGCTGAAATGGGCTTGTATTCATTTTTGCGGTCGCCAAAGTCATTAGATGACCTTGACGTCAGCAAATCCTCTGACGAACTTGTCTTGTTTATTTTCTGACATTTTCATATTTGTATCTGATTCATCATCATCATTTCAACTTCAATATATGCATAAAGTCAACAGGGTGTGGATGTTTTTGTTTTCTGCCACTCAAATTCATCCATCAGGGGGCCTATTCTCGAATGTCGAACGAAATATGTCATGTGACATAATTATGTCGATAGAAATTGTCGCACAACGTTCAAGTGTGGTACTCTCGATTGCTTTCGACTTCAAACTCGCATGAGACGAAATTTGTCTAATAGCATGAACTGGCAACATCGAATTAACGATTCTCGAATGTGTTCTGTGCCAATGTGTTGTGGTTTCTTTGTTGTTATGATGAAGGTTATGTCAATGATATGTTGAAATAATAATGGCAGTGAAAAGAAGAAAGTTATTGTATTATGTCTTAAAAGGAAACACTCAACAATATTGGCTGTAGCTATATAGAGAGCTAAAATTTCTTACTAGATATAAGTTTAATGAATTGTCTTGTATTTTGTTTTTCTCTTTTTTTTTTCTTTAATTTTTGTTATTTCCTATTATTATTTATATTTAAGGTTGAGTGAAAGAAAGCACTTGTCTGTTTCCTTAGGGATCAGACAAAAGCTAACTCTGCCCTTTGGTAGAATTGCACATATTTTTGTAACTATTTTGTATATTTATTCTTGTTTCTACCAATAAAAGCGTTTATTATTATTATTATTATTATTATTATTATTATCAACTTGATGGAAGAAAAATAGAATGAGCCACTTTTATCTGGCAAAAAACATGCAGAAGACCTATGTCCCTGTACCAGAAATGGTAACAGCACTCACTAGCAGTGCAATGGACTGTCACTAATTCCTTACCTTGATGTTTTTATACATTTCATGTCCGATAAAAATCTGATCGCATTATATACGTTCTCGTATTCGACATCAAAATGTTGACTGCTTAAGACCACTCTACAATTTGTCTATTGAAAATTTTCCAATGCGTCATTCGAGAATGGTCACTCACGTTTTTTGTTCGACAATGTAGAAATCTCGCATGCGATAAAATATCTCACCATTTGAGAATAGGGTCCCAGTTCCTAGAACAAGTTCATGAACTAATCCAATTTTCCATCTACAAATTCCTGGGAGCACTTATTAACAATCATTAGATTGTCCTATTTCTATTCCCTACTTTTATGAAGAAACAAATACATTTTCTTTGGAAGAGCACTATCTGATAAATACTCTCAAAATTTCTTTTGATATTATCAACAAACACCTCAAATCTAACTTCATATTGGTAAGGAATTTTCAAATCCAGGAACATCATACTAGAACAATATGACTTGTTTTATCTTGATGCTGCTAATTCCACACTTGGCCAAAAAAAGTTCACTCACGGAGCTATCTCAAAATTCAATAAATTACTTGATGATATCAAAATTCGCACAAATATCACCCAATTCAAAATTGAACTCAAGAAACATATCCTCTTGCAAAGAGAAAATCAATCCTAAGTGAATGATTTCTCATTCACTAATTTATTTCAACATGTCATAATGTACTTTTTCTACTCACATAACTAAAATGGCATTTAGCGTACTGATATGTACCACGCTAAATGATCTATTAATAACGGATTAAGCACAGCTTCAGTAATTTGAGACATGTCTGGCCTGTCAATTGTATTAACTGTCAACTGTTATTTTCGAATTTTGTATCAGAATTATTCAAACAATATTCGTTTGTATCAGAGTTATTCATCAAAAATATATGCGAAAAGTATAGACGAAAGTGAAATCGGAGAGAATGTTCTGGTACTTGCATATCTCCAAGAATTGTAAAAATGAAGCATCCATCTTTGAGAACAATTTATTTATTCTGCGCTAAGCATGACAATAAACGTGAAACAAAGGTTAGTAAGCAATGGACTGGACACATCTACAACCAATATCACTTATACGTGTGTGTCTCGCTGGTTGCATGCAGTTGCATGTATTATGTTCTCAATTCCCATTCCTTTCGAATTATTTGGTAGGTTAGCAGGAATTGCAGGTATGTTAATGTAATTTTCGGAGTTCGTAGAAAAATCATAGTATGTAACGCGTTTATAAACTCTTCTAGACACTCGTTTATTAAACACTCGTTACTAAAAGGACCTTTATAACACTTGTTACATAATACACTATTTTCTACTCCCATTACTTAAATGGCATTCAGTGTACGGATATGTACCACGCTAAATGATCGACTAATCACGGATTGTCGATCTGTGATTTATTCAAAATATTAAACACGTTACCATGGCAACACGATTTCTTAAACACATTACCATGGCAACACGATTTCTTAAACACATTACCATGGCAACGCAGTTCATTAAACACAGCTTCAGCAATTTGAGACATGTCTGGCGTGTCAATTGTATCAACTGTCAACTGTTATTTTCAAATTTTGTATCAGAATTATTCAAACAATATTCGTTCGAATCAGAATTCTTCATTAAAAATATATGCGAAAAGTAGACAAAAGTGTAATCGAAGAGAATGTTCTGGTACTTGCATATCTCCAAGAAGTGTAAAAATCCATCGGGTGTACTGGTATAAATATACAGGGTTTCCAGTAATAACATTGAACGAATTCAACTGGAGATTCTAGGAACAAAAATAGTAAAATAAAAGTACATGAACATGGGCCTAGAAATTGCCCCTTAGGGGGTTATAACTATCTGAAGGCGAGCCGAGGATGAAGGTTTTTTGTGTCCCTCTGAATAACTTACATCATTGAAAAAGTTATGGAGATGACTTTGAGCGTTCCTTCTTTCCTTTGAAATATTCCACCCCACTTTAACCAAACATCGACTTCTGCAAGAGAATAATGTTGGATATGTGTTTCCTATTGAATTATTAATTCTCCAGGTCTACTTAGTTTGATTCAATTCAATACGTTGGCCAGAACAACAAATCCTCCTTTATTTTCCTTGACCCTTCACTCAACGAATTATGGCAACAATAACCTTATCTCAAGGCTTTAGAGGAATTATGTTGTTCTTCGAAATCATTGTGACCTATTCTGTGGCAGTCTTGAGTAAATTCAAAACTAATGTTGTGACAATAATTATGAATAAATAGTTGATGTGATAAATAATTTAAGTGCCACATTTCTATGAGTGTAATTTTCATTGCTCCTATTATTATTTATTTTTGATTTTTTTTTTTCATAAAAATAGTGTAACCGTTGAAATAAATGAATATATCCCTTCAGGGGTAGGTGAAACCAGCCTCAACATGCTTTTTCAAATGCAACCCCATGGCCTGTGACCCCACTTTGAAAGGCTGATGTAAGGAGGGATTCGGCGCACTGATCGAATATTAGTTTTTACTACGTTCGAGGTACGCATAAAATCAAAATGAAATTTTGAAATTCAATTTATTTTCAGCATGACAATTCCTCAAAATATTTATCCATTTATTTAAAGACACTACATAATTAGATAAAAATTCCAAATGATATGACTAAACTAACGAGCCAACAAAGAAAACGACAATAACAAATACAATCTAAAATATGTCTACAAGCATATAACAAGATGATAATCTAGGTGCATATTGAGAAAATAGATACAAAGTGACATTCGAGTTTTGATATCAAAATTACTTTTTCAGACTTCCAGGTATTATTATTGACGTGGAACTTGAGTTGTTTCATGAGTACTCTACAACAGAAAGTACGACCATAACTAGTACAGTAAGTAGGTTTTCACGTAGAAAATGTGACAGGTTCTCGTAGTCCTAGGATTGGCGTGAAATGATAAATTTTACAATATTGCAGGGCATTTTATAATGCCAATTACAATTTTGAATGAAATGTTTTACATAGCTATAATTCGTATATCTCCTAAAGTTTGGAATTTTAACAATGAAATTCTGAATTGAAGGGTCGAGATCAGTTTTAGTTTCCAGACAAGCAAATTTGTAAACCGACCAGTCTAAACGGCTCGTATGACAATTATATACTGGTTACTAAATAATACTTTTATATTCAAGAACGCTCCAAACTAGTGAAATATGTAGCTATTTTTTGCCATAACTGATATTTGCAATTTTATGCCAGTGTTTTTACACAGCTACAAAAAAATTAGTTCATTCACATTTTGAAACGGAGTGTTGCAAACTGGTGGAAATTCCTTATTTGGCTAAATCCCTAAATGATATAATAGGAAATATCGGGGAGTTCATTCAATCGGGCTACATATTTCCTATTATATCACAATATAATACAGTCAATAAACTATTCATAAATCCCTAACTATCGAAAATAAATGAAAAATGATAGAGAGCTGAGAACTGTATACCTATCAAACGGCAGAATTCAAGTTCAGATCATTTCACCAGTGAGAGTGACGTAATCAGAACTTGCTCTTCCATTCAACCGAGAAAAAAAAAATTATCGCTATGTTATACATAAACCTATAAGTAACCAAATATAAAATAATTTAAATTTACACATGAACATTTCAAATATAAGTCATCATAAAGCTGGATGCATACCTATAAAAAAAATTTAAAAAAAATACATCAGTAACTGAGGCAAAGAGTTATGGAGTAGGTCAGATTTGAGTTTTTTCCTGAAATTTGGAATCGATAATGTTTTCATTGAATTCGGGAGTCGATTGTAAAGCCAGGCGATATTATAGGAGAAAGAGCCACGATAAAGAGTAGTTTTATGAGGTGGTATTGAGAGATTATTTCTGAATCTAAGATTTAAATTATGAATGTCAGTTCTATAGCAAATTTTATCGTGGAGATAAGAAGGTGTTTTTGTAGTGATAATTTTATGGTAGAGAATACAAGCATGAAATACACGTCGGGCCTCCATATTCAACCATTCTAAATTATTTAGTTGGTGAGTTACATGCTGTCGCCTTCTGGTCCCAGTGATAAGCCTCAAGCATGAATTCTGTAAGGTCTGTAATCTTTTCCTGTCGGCTTGAAGTAAGTTGGGACCGTATACAATATCAGCATAATTGGCATGCGATAGAACCAACGAATCACATAAGATTTTCTTGGAATTTTGGTTTAATATTTCTCTATTAGAGTATATCATTTTCAAATTGCAGTATCCACGCTTTATTATTTGGGACACATGTGATGAGAATCTGAGAGAATGTTCCATAATGAGACCAAGGTTTTTTGAACGATCTGTAAGAGGTAGTTGTAGATTATCAAAATTGATAATGATATTACTCTCGTTTCTTCTTCTCTTTGCAGTTCGGCCAAATAGCGTCATAACAGTTTTTGATGGATTAACTGTTAGGCAGTATTTTTTTGAGGTTTCGATCAAAGAATTCAAATCATGATTGATCTGCTGACATGCAACTTGCACTGAAGTTTCCGAGAATTGTTTGTAAATCATCAGCGTAGCTATGAATACGCGTGTGTCGGAGACACTTAGGAAACTGAGACGTGTAGATCACGAATAAGATAGGTCCGAGAATTGATCCCTGTGGTACGCCAGTTGAAGTTTCAAGGAAAGTTGATTTCTCTGTATTATTTATTTAATACAACGCATTGTGTCCGACATGATAAGTAATTTTGAATGAGTGTTCTAGAAGTTAGCGAAAATCCAAGAAATTTCATTAATGCTATCAAAAGCTGATGACAGATTTTGTCAAAAGCTTTGGAGTAATCAATTAAAACCAGAATTGACAGATCATTACTGTCAACAGCTTTGTGGATGTCATCGACCACTTTCAAAAGAGCTGTAGTACAGCTGCGATTAGTTCTGAAACCCGATTGAGATGAAGGCAGAAGGTGTTCAGCATCAAGGTAGGCACGAATTTGTTTATTCATTATTTTTTCGAACACTTTTGATATGGCACAGAGTATGCTGATGGGCCGAAGGTCATTAAAATTTTGCGGAGTGGTAATTTTAGCCAGAGGGATCACGTGCGTCTTTTTCCATATGGAAGGAAATATATTGTTATCTATGCACTCATTGAATATGTGACTTATATAAGGTATAACGTGAGGACAAGAATGCAGTAGCATTTTAATACTGATCCCATCAAAACCAACGGCATTGGATTTCACTGAGATCATGGTTTCAAATACTTCTTGGTCAGTAGGTAGTCCTTTGGATGCAGAAATTCAAGTTGGTATTCAATATATTGTTGGAAAAGAATGACAGAAGTTCATCTTCAGGCTTATCAACATTTGCAAAGCTATTGCAAAAGAATTTGTTGATTTCACTAGGATTTTTGAGGTGATCAGGAAGTGGTTTACGTGTTTTTTTGTTTAGCAAATCTAAATCTGAAAATTCTTTCCAGAGATTTTTATTGCCTTTAAGACGAAACTCTAAAAATGCTTTTTTTTTAGTTTTATAGTTCGGTTAGTTAGATTTCTCAGCTGTTTATAATATTCCCAGTGAGTACCCAAACCACTTCTCCTATAACGGCTCAAAGCTTTGTCACGCAGTTTCATCATAAATTTTAAGTTGTCTGTTAACCAAGGTGCTTTTTTTCTTGGTGATACGTACGGTTTTCACTGGAGCGTGTTTATTAAAATTACTCAATAACAAATAATTGAATTTAACAACTTTTTCATCCATATCATCTAACCTAAGAATGCTATCTAAATCAGAATTACAAAGATCGTTCTGAAATGACTCCGTATCAAAGTTTTTGAAGTCTCTGAACGTATACTGAAACACATTAATGTTCGTTTGAGGAGGGGAGCCTAATTTACAAGCAGCTAGCCAATGGTCCGAGAAATCAGAACAATCCACCACAGTACAGTCAGTTGAACGTAAAGTTTTAGAACAAATTATAACATCCAGTAATTTGCTGGTAGTAGCAGTAATGCGAGTGGGGCTATCAATAACCTGATGCATGTCAAAGGATTTTGAAATTATTATGTTCAGAGTTTATACAACCTCAAACGTACTAAATGAAATTTTATCAATATGCTGTATTCCACTTTCAACCAGCTTTCCATTGAAGGGTCACAAGCCATAGGACTTCATTTGGAAAAATATGTTGGGGATGATGTCAGCTATCCCTGAAGGGCCATATTCTTCATATTGCTTGCAAAATGTAGGTAAATACATCAAGACATTAACATGTCTCGTGAATTTTAGAAAAATTATTTACTTTTCTACTAGCGAATTCCCACTCTTTATATCCGAAACATGTACCCATTTTTTTTATGTGATTCCCACAATAAACTGCTGTGGAAATTTGTAATTATTTGCAAGTTCCTATGAACCATACCTTATTGTTGAAATTTGTAATAATATACTACTTTTGCTTTTTCAGGTTTGTTGTCAACTCTCATATGCGCCATCACCCGTCAAAAAAAGATTTGGAAGAATCAGAAGAACCAGATAACGAATTACAAATACCACAAGAAATGTTGAAAAAATATATTGTATATGCCAAGGAAAACATCCATCCAAAATTACAAAATATTGACCAAGACAAAGTGGCAAATATTTATAGCCAGTTGAGACAGGAATCCTTGGTGAGTTTTTTTTTCTATGAAATTTTTTAAATTTTTTATTAACATTTTTCACTACTGAATAATCCCAAATTGTGTTTGTCTATATAATGATATACAAAAAATACTAGCCACCAAAGAAATTTACCAAATTGGTCGCCCTTTAACTCTTGTGCGATTTTGGTGAAATTCCAAACAAATCATAGAATTACTTTTCGATTACCTAACCTGAAATTTAGTTGGAAGAAGCTGATTGCTTGATTATTATACAGGAAAAAAAACAAAACTTACTATTTAACGTTTAATTTCTTAACGCCCTGTGGCAAAAGTGAGTGATTAAACCTAGATTTATTTAGTTTTGGATGGAAGTATCTCCTTCTCAACACGATGGTTTTTTATTCACGTAAATAACTTTTTTTAAGAGGAAGTGTTTTAAGAAAGTATGGATTTTTTGAAATTTGCAGAACACACATGAACTTATGGATCAACAACTCAAGAACACATCTAAAAATAAATATCACTTATTTCCAGCACGTTTTTTAAGTGGTCACCAGCAGAAAGAAGCCTTGATTACTGAAAACAATGTATGTAGTGAATAATGAGTATGCCCTCCAGGAACTTGAATTGAAGCATTCAACCGCCCTGGCATCAAGTTGATAACATATCTCAAGCAGTCTTGAGTGAACATCTCAAAGTTTCCTTGAAGCCACTGGAGTTGATCCCAAAGATGCTCTATAAGTTCTGAATTATTGTTGATAAAAATTTAAAAAATCCATACTTTCTTAAAACACTTGTATCTTCTCTTACAAAGAATATATTGGCATGAATCAAGAACTATTATGTCGAGAAAGGACGACAAGGGATCACACTCCAATCCAAAACATGATGAAGTAGAAGGTTGGAGAATGGTTCTGAATTGTTATTGAAATTTTCAGAAATCCATACTTTCTTGAAACACTTGTTTATTTTTCAAAAAAGAATATATTGACGTGAATCAAAAACCATTGTATCGAGAAGGAATCACACTACAATCCAAAACATGGGATAATCATGTCAGATCCATCGCAAAAGCTGCTTCACAAAAACTCGGATTCTTGTTCCGTGCGAAAAGCTACTTTACAGCTTCTCATGATCTACAAAGCGCAGATACGGCCTGTTCTAGAATACTGTTCCCACATATGGGGTTCAGCACCAAAACATACGCTGATGCTCTTAGATTCCATCCAGAGAAGAGCCATTCGCCTGGTGGGTGACGCCACACTCACTCACTCTTTGACATCATTGGAACACCGTAGAAAGGTCGGCGACCTTTCACTTTTCTATCGATACTTCCACGGGAAATGTTCTTCGGAAATCTCTGCTATCATCCCTTCACTAGCAATACCAATCAGACGAACTAGACGAGCCCAGTCAGCACATCCTTTCGTTGTCAACCTCGAAAGATGTCGAACAGCACTTTATCAAGACTCCTTCATCCATAGAACGGCTAGGCTCTGGAATTCATTGCCTGTGGAAGTATTCCCAACAACATATAATCTCCAAAAGTTCAAAAAAAATTCCAATACCTACCTCCTGTCCCTATCCTCTCTAGGAACGCACGATGTTCTTCGAACATTATAGGGATTCCCTTTCGTGCGCTCCAAGCGATAAAAAAAAAACATGATAATGATGAGTATAACCACCAACCTTTGCCACAGAGCATTAAAAAGTAATGGGTGCCTTTTTCAAGAATTTATGTTCGAGCTAGCCGGAGATTGAATATAATATAATCTCTGAGCTAATACTCTGAAACATAATTCTACGATTTGATCAAAATTTCATTAGAATCGGACAAAAATTTGAAAAGTTAAGGGTACCGATCAATTTGGCAACATTTTTTGCTGGCCGTTTTTTTCTGCCGGTGAGCGTATAGAGGGTGTTATTTTATTTTGTGGCCAAACATCAAGGGGCGATTATCTCCGTGATTCTGGGGATAGTCCTGTATGATTCGCTGTTGCGTCCCAATTAACAGTGCTGCTCCTAAAGTGGGGAATGGAGTTAGTAACAAAGCCTACACAGAACACGCAGAAAGATATGATGATGTTGGTTGTGAGCATCAGAGAAGTAGGACGGTGTATGTAGGAGGGTGTGGAAAACTACCAGCTGAGCGTGAGAGCGGGCCAGCTGCCAGCTGCTTAGTAGACCTCGGTCTCCGGGGGTTAACGAGGATAGTTAGCAGGCCTGCCACTGCGCATATGGTAGTGAGTACATTACTAGCCTACAAAACACAGCCGAAAAACTCTGAAAGAGAGCTGATGGGCGGTGCCTGAAAAGGATGTTAGCCAGCTCTCTTGAGCGAACCACATCAGTCATTGAAAACACTTGGGGTTTGCAAAAAGGTCCCATTAGGAACTAGTTGCTGACGTGGAAACGTCCCCCACCAGTCCCAGTATCTCCGTGATTCTAAGATGAAAAAAGTTAATAGGAACATATGTCCTGAAATGCTTTGTTTTCAAGTTACAGGGTGTTGAAGTTGGAAGAATTGATTGTTGTTTTTCATGATTACCCTGTATAAGATTTTATGATGGCAAAATTTAGTCTGGTTGGTGACTGAAAAAGTCTCAAAATTTCAGAATAATACTCATTGAGGTTATTGAGTAATCCCAATGGGTGTTCTGAGGACACCTACATTAAAATTTTGAATCAAATCACTTAGTGATATACAAAAATTTGATAGGGGACAAGAAAGTTGTATTCTCAATTTTTTAATCTGTTAAAAATATCCACTTGGAAGAAACTATGATAATTAATAATTTCATAATATTCAAACTGTTGAATCACTTTCGATACATTCCAGAAGATCGTAATATTTCAATCGGCAATACAGGGTGCTCTACTTCGCAACTGGTCACTGATAGTGTTGAAAACAATTTCAAATCACTATTTTAATTGGGAAATACCTACGTCCATCATTCCTTTACCGTACAGGGTTCCGATGATTTCATAGGGATAAATATATTGCTATTTCCTAAACGGTAGAGGTAGAGGCGATATTAAGTTAATGAAATTGAAGTTGCGTAATTTGAACTTCTACAACATGCCGTCTCGCAACAACTTTTGTCTGATCTGCTCAATTCTCCATCTCTTCCCGATTAGGAAATTGCAATACTGTCGCTATGAAATCAACGGGACCCTATATGTATATAATTTTCAACATTTTTTAGCAACTTGCAATGTTGCCGCTGTCCCTATATAAAAAAAGTATATTGCTCAGAGGAAGAATTTTTTTGTCATTATTTCATTTATACAATCAAATGATACGCTGGTAAGGCGTGGCCAGCTTTTAATACAAACAGCGTATCCGATATTCCAAGCTCCTGTTGAATTCGGCTTATGGCTTCGTAAATGATGTCATTTTTCTCTTCAATGTATCTGTAACTCGAGAGACATGTAGGTGGCCCATAGGGTTTCCATTAGAAAAAAAAATAATTTTTGAAATGATTCATCAATAAGTGACACAATTTCACAGAAAAAAATATGTTTCTCTAGCTTTGACCATGTAAACGAGGTGGTCTCTGATAAGCAATTAATATATCTTGATCACTAATTTATTAACCTATCTTGAAACCACCTGATTTAATATATAATTTTAATTTCCAACAAAAAGTATTTCCTGCCGAGCGAGACAGGTCGACAAGTAGGTTCTTGAATAATCGTTTTGAAATGCCACATAATCATTCACAATATATCATAATCAACCTACCTTTCATATCTGAAGTCCCAGCTAACAGCTTGTGACACATCCACGTGTATATGCATCACACTCGTAAAATATTTGAGCTTGCATATTATTTAATCAAAGTCTATCACTCTACTTTGAGACACTCTTTAGTAATTATTTGAAACAATGAATTACGTTAACTTTACTCTCAACCTCAAATAAAACTGGAGAAGGGATAGGAAGGAGGTCCATAAATCAAACTATTCGGTTCCTAACTGAATTAACTATGTTTATTATCAGATGGATGATAAATGAATAAAAGTGAATGAAAAAAGAATCTGGACCTACCTAAATGACATAAAACTGTATTGGTATTTACTGCATCCAAAGACTAGTTGAGAAATGGTGATAATTGAATATTAACCATAAAGAACCATGATAATTGAGTTATCCACTCAAGTAGTTAATAACTCTTCAACTCATAATAAAAGTGAAGATTTCAAATAACAGATTACTTTTTCAGCGTTCCGCATATCACGTGACACAACTAAACGGAACAAAACTCAGAAACGAACTTCCACAAAATTGTGACAAACATTACTTTTGTATAGCTAGTGTATCACGTGACATGAGGGAAGCGAAAGCTCAGCGCCAAATTGTATCTGACCAATCATGTGATGGTATTCCATCATTAGGGTGATATTTAAAAACCTCTCAACTCGCCTTTGTCCATCAAAAGGACGATAAATAACATTCAACATATGGTTCGAAATGAACAAGTGTTGCTTGACAAGTTATTCTTCCAAGAAAATATACGTAGTATATTATAGTTGCCTTTGCATGGGCAAAAAACAATAAACTCATCTCAGACCTTTACAGTATGTGTTTGAAGAAATCTATTTGGACCTCATTCAGATGGACCGAGCTAGCCTTGTCCGTTTTACAATTCAAAAATGATATCAGCTTGGAAAAAAGGCGTAGTAAAAAACCAACAACTATGTAGATCTCTCGATACCATGTCTTTATTCATCGTATACTAATATGACGATAGTTACTTGAATCTATAAGTATTCTGGTCGCAACATATCAAAAGTAAATCTATTCAAATTCATTTGCGGTTATAATGGTCAACTGAGGGCTATTAGAAACCCGTCCTCCATACCTACTCGGCTCTCGATTTCGATAAACTGTGAAATATATTGGGCGATGTAATTTTAACCAGCTTAGGATTGATTCGATAATCTAATGAATGATAAAAACCTATTCATAGTAGCTTTCTTACAACCACATCTGATTTATCCACGAGGAAAAATAAAATAACAAT